TTCCCATCGTGGTAACTGAGTTAACTGAATACAATTGTCAGAGTGTGCTATAGACTCTTGATTCATCAAACCCATATGAAGAGGTTCTACAATCCAAATGGGAGTTATTGTAATATCCCTAAGGTCTCCAACCACATCCTCAGAGGGTAGTTAGACCGCCGGCCCAAAATTCTACCGCAACCACCTTCGAAAACGGAGGTGAGGTGGTTGGAGCATGTTGGAGCCTTTTAAAATGGACCATCCAATGGGTGTCCAAATGGAACCATTCTGAGTAGTGCAGGGTAGTCCAGCCAGGACACCCAAACAGGATGGTCCTGGTATCAGAATTGACGTTTTTGTTACTAATAGCTTCTTTGTTACTACTAGTAAGGCACCTGTTACTACTAGCGAGGCACTTGTTACTAATAGCTTCTTCGTGACATGCTTTTCCACCCCCCCCGACGGACGCCATGCCTCTGGACCGACGCCGAGGCACACGAGGAGCGGACGCGGCTTGAAAGGCCGGGACCTGCGGACTCAGCGCGGACGACGAAAGGAGCAGCCCCGACGACGTGCGAGGTCAGAGGTTTCGCAGTGGTCATCGTGGCCCGAGACACTCAAAACCAGAACGTATATACTGTGTCTTAAGGATATCTTGATCCATGTTCTTCCAGTTTCTTGCGCATGTGTCCTCATCAAATTGAGTCTAAAAGCACCAAATGGAACCACAGCGATTCCGTTGGGCCACCAACCAAGAGGCACAGCATCACTCTTGCCGCAAGGCTTCTCAAGCGCCCCTCCACACAGGCCCGGATACGATGTTTTCCCCAGAGGTGGATTCACCATGATACACCCAGTGCGAGAAAATACATCTTTCTGTAAGCAAACTCAGGACCTGAGTTACCTAATAATCTTAATACATATTATACCGGGTTTATTTCTTCAACTCAGGTCTTGAACTGAAAAGACTTCCCACGGTGTTCCACACGCCTCCACGGCCGGCGTCAAGCACGCCAGCGCGCTCAACTGCAGCTGCGAGGGCAGCGCTGCTCGAGCCCTGGCGGTGAAATCCGGAGGCGAGTTTGGGGCCAGGCGGCCAGGTGAGGATTCAACATAAACACTCCGTTCATAAACACTCCGTTCGTATATGGCATATTTACATACATTGGCATTGGGGGTGGTTTCAGTTGTTAATGTAGCCGCATCCGCATATATCATATTCCGTATATATTCATGGGTGACCGGACGTCGAGGCTTTAAGAAGTCTCTCCCCGACATCTTTCACAACCCGACAGCTTTGTAACAGTTGCACGGTCTGTCATTCAATTTCAGGTTTGAATTGGCAGCCCAGCTGCTCAAAAGCTGCAATCGTTGCCTATTTACACAGTTTTACACACATGCATCGTTACGTCAAACGGCCCACAGATGCGGGCCGTCTGACGTAGCACAGTGCTGGATCACAGCCGTCTTCGTCGCCACCTTCGTTCGCATCGGTGCCGCATCTCACCGCATCCGTGCTGTGTCAAGGCCCCACAGTGAAGGTGTTTTTCACCCCAAAACCCCACACCTGCGAAGACCCGATTCGCTGGGCGAAAACAGATCTCCACGGTCATCCTGGTCCCACCGACCAACCTGCCCGACGAATGGTCGCCTTGGCGTGCGTCTTTCGTTGACGTCCGGGCGCTCGGGGGTCTCGACCGATGCACCTGAGCTGAAACAGGATGTTGCAGAAAAACGCTGGGGGATGCTGGGGTGGACGCTGTGAGGACATGGTCCCCAAATCGTCTTGGAACAAAACGGGACTTTCGGGCGAAGGGGGTTTTAAGAATGGAGAAATCAGAATCCAGTTTGACATTGATCCCCAGCGCCCGCAACACTTCACGGAGATAGACTGAATTTCCTGCTTTTGCGCCTAAACGGAATTCCCGGAGGTGTTCATCTGAAGGGATGGATGATGGGCCCACTGCAGGCAATGGACTTTTGCGGGTCGTTCGGATCCCAAGCAATCCAGTATACATTTTGCATCTTGTGGGATCTTTGCCCTCTCCCCATAAGCCGACCCCACAAGCACCATACACGGCAAAAAATATGCCTCCCATATGGAGGCCATCTCTTTTTGGCAGGTTTGGAGGCCATCCCCAGGCCGCTAGACATACCTAACAAAAACCGCCTCCATATCCAAGACTCTGAACACCACGTCCAACCTCTCATTCCCAGAGACTCGCCTCCATTCAGCCTCTGCTCATGCTCAGCCGGAGGTCGCGCGACCGCCGCGACTCGCGGTGGAGGAGTGGCCTGGATGAAGCGAAAAGCTGAGGGCCAAATGTAAAACTCCTGGGGGAAAAGATGCGTAGACCGAGTTTCACATCAAGTTAACATGTTTTGAACATGTATTAAACTGCAGTAACATGCAGTAACTGTCTGTTCGTGGTTGATGGTTTTTCGGAGGCATGCATGATATCATTGCAGAATCACTCCCTTTTGGCAGGCGGACACAGGTCACAGGTCCTCCATGTCCGGACCGAAACGATCGCCATGTTCCAAAGATGTCCAAATTAGCTCCAGCCGGCCGTCGCAACGTTCGAGACGTCATGCATCGTTTCAAGTCGTTCGGCAGTCGATCGTCGCTATGAACTGCCGCAGAGAAGAGGTTTCTCAAGAGGTGCTGGCTTTGCCGACTTCACCTTTTGGACAGGCCAACCCCTCACTGACAGGGCTGAACGAAAACAACGTCATCTTTGGCGATCTCAGCTTGATCAAAAGCTTTGAGTCCAATCCCATGCAGGGGTTCTTCATCAAACTCTTCCACGTTCTTCCAGCCGACTTCCAGATACTGCCGTCCTCACTCCGCCTCGTCCGTCCTCACTCCGCTCGCGGACGCTTCGTGGCAGTCTCAGGAGCTTCCTCCTCGCTGTCGGAGCTGTAGTTCACAAGAAGACTCGGTGCCGCCGGCTCCGTCGCCGCACCCGGTGCAGCCGCCGACGTCTCCGTCTCCTGCGGACGGGAGCGCGACGCGCGAAACAGAAGACGTCGGAGGGAAGACGGATTCATGGCGCCATGGCGCCATCCCTGCTTGGGTGTCTCAGAACTTAAGTTCCCAAGCCCAACAATTGTCCAAAATGCATGAGTATATAGCCTGTGTCGCTGTCTACTTCGCAGCAAGTGGGGGGCGACTGGTCGAACCTTGCCCCACACCGGCAGACCGCGGTGTGAGAGACTCCCCCCAAGTCCGGCACCGAGGTACCTTTCTTGGGACGGCCGGCAACTGGAAAGAGCTATCCAGCTGGCCGGCCAACGCAAAGGGCCCCGAGCATGTTCAAGCCATCACTCAATGTGTCACCAACCAGCCAACATGTCCGAGCAAACTAGCATGTTCTTGGGCTCCTTGGGCTCCTTGTTCTTGATTTGGATCTTGGCACCCAAACTGCCAGTGCCCCGACCTTTGCTCGCCTGGCCATGTGCCTTTGAAATCTTGGACTCGGTCTTTGGAAGGTCTGCTTCCGCCTTCAAGCGAGCGAACATCTCCTTCTCGCTCTCCTTCAAGCTAGCGAGGGATTTCAGGGATGTCTTGAGAAGTGTTTCATACACCTGGGCAAACAAAGCTTTGCAGGATCTCAAAGCAAGCAGGATCTCTTTGTTCCACAAAAGCTCCCCCCACAGTTCTTAAACATGTTCAAACATGTTCAAACCAACCGCCTCGCCGCCTCACCCCATCGTACCCCATCGTAACACGCCACGCCTGGGGTGGCTTCCGCTCGCCGATGGCCCAGAACTTCTCGTAAAGCCCCAGGTCCAAAGCGCAGTTCCGCTTCCGGCGCGCATCCTGCGGTATCTTCTTCCATCCCAACACATCTTCTGTTTCTGCGCGAAGATGTCTGATATATACATGCAGGGAGTCTCTCTCTGGGGGCCACGTACCAATTTGTATTGGAACTGTAGCGTTCGGACATGCCCGTTGGTCCGGAAGGATCAACGTTAAGGCGCTTGAAGCGAACATGTTCGGAAGTCGTTAGCCTTCCAATTTCAAATTGGAAGGCTAACGGGGTCTGATGATATGGCGAGACGAAGCGCATGAAGCACTGCTTTTGGGAACATCGAGCCGAAATGCACAAGAGGCGCCCCGCCTGGTCATAGTCAATCTTCAGCCCTTCGTCGACCGGCTCCCATTTCCAGCCCTGATGCGCTCGGAGGGCCTTCGTGGCGTGCTCAATCGTATCGTAGTCCACGAAGACCATCCTGGTTGAAGAAATTCCCAGCTCATTGCAGCTATGATAATTAAGGACCCGGCCATGCAAGTTGGTGAATCATATGACATCATGCGCATCATGTCCAGTAGGTCTAGACAAGTCGAAAAAAAAAAAAAAAACAGTATATTCGGGGTCGGCGTGTGATCCTGTGGCCCACCGCGTCCTCCGAGACTTGTGGCCCACCGGCCGGCACTGCAAGAAGCCGTCGTCGTACTCGAAGACGGACTGGACGCTGTCCGAGGACTCGGCATCGGGGATGCCCGTGACGAAGAGCGTGTAGGAGGGCTTCGTATAGGTCCTGGAGCGGAGAACAAAGCAGGGTTTGAACTCGTCAAGGGAGAAACATCCTTTAAGGAACCTGTCAGGTGGAAAAAGTCTCCACCTTCGTTTGGGGGACAAGATTTATAAATCAGATTGTTGCAACAAGGGTCAAGGGGGATTATGCAAGATCATGGAACTGTTGGTCATCACTCACGACCTCACGACTCGAGTGCCATCGCCGTCCTCTGGCCTTGCCCTGCCGCGTGGCCGCCGAAGCGCTCCTGGTACTTGGAGCCAAAGGGGTTCACGTCCACGCCCAAGCGGTGCAGCCCCGACATCGGCCGCCCGGGTGTGGTGGCTGTGGTCCAAGCACGCCACCACACGCGCCGGCGCTTTCGCTTGCTGAGAGAATTGGGCTGCACGTTGGGACAACTGTACGTCCGAGCAAACATGTTTGCAGGTTGCAGTGTTGCAGTGCAGAATCCGTGATCATGATCATTAGAATGAGGCATCGTGCCTGAATGTTGTTGAGATGTTGAGCCAAAGCCATGTTGAAATACAAAATGAATTGTAACTAGGCTAGCCTTAAGCACGTGACATTACCTCCAAAACTCTTCCAAAGCAGCTGAGCATGTCACAAGTAGGGCTTGTTCTGACAAACTTTAAATGGTTTCATTCAAATTGCTGCCATTCTCAGCTCTTCAACACATCGGCCTCAAAGGAGTCCGCTGTCCGGCTTGACTTCGCTGTCCGGCCACCGTTCGGATCCAAGGCGCGCCTCCACCGCCGTCTCCGCCCGCGGCACGGAAGTCACCGCGGCCACGTCGCTGCGCACGCCGCGGCCACCGCCGCGGTGGCCTCTCAGAAACTGGCTAAAACGAAGGACCTCAAGAAGTGGGTCGTTTTCGGCATGCCGGTTTTTGGGAAACATACTCCAAAACCAAGAAACATGCTCGGTGCTGTTTCCGTCGAGATGGTCCGAAAATGACTTGAGCTGCAGGGGTGTGACCTACACAAAGAACACGTATATTATGGACCATTTCACGTGACGCATGGGCTTTTGTGTCCAACTTTGTTAGCTAGCGCATCTTTTAATAGGGAACCCCCAACCAATTGGGTTGTGGTCAGAAAGTCTTTCACATATCTTGATACTTCCTTCTTCCAGAAACACACCCATGTTGGTGAATCTTCAGAAAGCTGAGTGACACGTGTGCCTCTTGCGTCCACGTCGAAGCCGCGCTCCAGGCAGTCTGGGCAAAACCAGGAGCCTCGAGGCCTCGCAAACGACAGGCGTCGCGGGAGACCAGCCCCCCCAGTGCTGTTTGATATACTTGTTATTTGCGGTTACAAATTATTTACATTCTTTGAGAAATTGTGGTGCTCCGTTCCGAGACTGAAGATGCATATTTAGTTTAACTCTATCGCAAACTAAAATGGAACCTGAGAATGGACCGGTGGCTTCGACCCTTTTCCTCTACAAAACCGTGGTTTTGGGGGGTCCTTGTGGTCGCAGGGTCGAACTCTCCCCCACCGCCCGCCCTGAGACGTGCCCCGCGGGACCGAGTGCAGGCAAAGCACGTTGACTATACCCTATAGGGCTCCAATCACATCGCCAGAAGGTGCTTTGGGAGGGGTGCCAGGGGGGTCTGTTCCCGCCTTCTGAGGATATGGTTGGAGCCCTAGGGATATATCATATATATCTCTACTATTCTCTACTGTGTTTCCTTTTTTACTCCATGTTGCTCCAAACCCTTCCAGAGGTCTCACCCAAATTTGGACTATCGGCTACTGGACCTCAAGAAGTTGGACCTCAAAAGACCTTGTAAGGCTAAGCCGCATTAAACCGCTAAGCTGCTCAACACCAAACAACACACGATGGACCCACTTTGCACGTGATTGACATACCGTGACCCCAGGTCGTGCGCTTTTCGTCTTCCACGAGCCAGGCGCTCGTCAAATCCTCCAAACAAAAAAACATCCGCAACATCATGAACAGTGTGTTTGTCCCCTGAAAACGCTGAGTGTCCAACACTGCAGAGAGCCCTACGCAGGTGTAATGGAAGGTGGCATTGCCTTGGAAGAAACGACGGTGTTTCTTCGTCCACCGAGTCGTGTTTCGGAGCTCGGAGGTTCGGGGAACAAAAGTCTATCATAATGAACACCCAAGTGGCATTCAGGTGTCAAAACTGTAGCTCTATATGCTCTATACCAATAAGATGCCAATCAGGGACTTGGTAACCTTCCGTGTCTCAGCAACGAAGAGAAGAACGTACACCCAAATCAAGCACCGAGGATACCCAAAGTGGAGGGCTGTGGAAACTTATGAAATAAACACAGCAGATCCACGGACCATGTTGTGCGTGGCCCAGGAAACCGTCAGCGTTTTGTGGTCAAGATGCATGGATTTAAGGGCATTGTCACCTTTAGCCTATGGCATCCAAGTAAATAAAACACAAGAAACTGTTTGACTCCTCTTGCAAGTGGAAACCACCTGTAGTTTGGTGGGGTGGTAAGTAAGTGGGGAGCCATTGATTCATGAGACATACCTTTCTTGGGGAATCCATTTTCGTACGGCAGCCTTGCGCCGGTTCCGGGACGTCATGCCAGACCGAGGCCACAGACACGTGCCGTGCATCCCATCGCAAAGCAAAAGCTTTGCTTCGTCTCCTGCCTCGGGCGATGGGAGTGACTCGGGGTGACGAAGCGACGTGTTTGGACGTAGGGACGGACATCTGAGTGTGTGCCATGGTGGCAGTGGATGAGTCTTTTCATGGTTTTTTGGGTCTCTGAACATGCCCATATTGTGAGCAAACTGTTTGTCATCTCTTCATGGTCCTGCCTCCCAGCCGTTCGGTCGGCTTTTTGCGGCCACCATCTTCAATGGAGGCTTCTGGTCAGCCACTTCCAACGAATCTATAGAATCTAGATGAAGCTAGTAGCAAACTTTCGAGCACTAAAACATACCCCAAGCATCCCCAAGCACTTCATTTAATTTTATATGGCATATTTACATACGTTGGGGTGGTTGAAGTTGATGTCAATGTATATAGGTAAATATTCCAGTCCCATTATCGATTGGGTACTAAAACTAAAACTAAATTAGACTTAATTCAGTATGCCAGGATGCTCAACATCAGCAAGGTGGACATCAAGCCTTTGGGGTCCCTGGCTGGGTCCTTTCGTGTGAAAACCTCGTCGGAAAGCTGGTGGCACGGAGCCCTTTCATTGCAAAACAAAAAAAACACATCCCCTAAAGGGTCCAGCACCATCCGAATCGGATGTGCTTTGGCCCCCGTTCGACCATTCTCTGGAAGTACGAACTCACCTCCGTTCGACCATCCGCAGTGTACCTGGACCCTATGGGATCCGTTCTTCCTCTGCCCCTCATCATTCTCATCCGAAACCTCGGCATAAACGGTGTCCCCCTCCAAAAGGCACCGAGCTGCCCCCGAGCAGCCCAGCCCTTGTCTCCCTGTTCGACCGAACATCGCCTCCTTGCATCGCTCACAAATGGAAATCTCTTCGAACTCCTCCTCCTCCTGGCGTGAGACGACAGGCCACGCATACGAACGACGCGAGCGAACCGAACGCATCGCGACGATCGAGTCAGTACAGTAACAAGTTAAGACGAGAGGTGAAGACAACGCAGGCGGAAGGTGCGCAACGTGGTGCAGACAATGATGGCTTGGCAAACGGAAGCAGCTGGAAGAACCAGTACACAGGGCATGTGTGTTGAACGTTTGATCTTGCTTGCTTGTCTGACAAAATGCATGCAGAATAATCCGTCGTAGCTGGAAAACGACTGATATGTGCGGTCTGTACAGTATGACCTCCATAATGAATCCATAGTGGCAAAATACTCACACGTCGAACAGGTATCATATTTAAGGGCTTACGCCCGACAGCCGGCCAGGGGCCCAAGCAAAGGGGAGTGTGGTTGTAGTTGTGGTTGTAGTTGTTGTTGTTGTTGTCGTGGTTGTTGTTGTGGTTGTGGTGGTTGTGGTTATTGTGGGGGTTGTGGTTGTTGTTGTGGTTGTTGTGGTTGTTGTTGTTGTTGTCGTTGTTGTTGTCGTCGTTGTTGTTGTTGTGGTTGTTGAGGTTGCGGTTGTTGTTGTTGTTGTTGTTGTCGTTGTTGTTGCTGTTGCTGTTGCTGCTGCTGCTGCTGCTGCTGCTGTTGTTGTTGTTGCTGTTGCTGTTGCTGTTGCTGTTGTTGTTGTTGTTGTTGTTGTTGTTGTGGTTGTTCTCGTTGTGGTTGTTCTCGTTGTTGTGGTTGTCGTGGTGGTGGTTGTGGTAGTGGTGGGTGTGGACGTGAGCCCAGCAGCCGCCCACGATGCAGACGAAGCACCCCGGTGCGGCACGCATTTCCAGCATTATTTGAGCCTATGTTGGGCCATGGTGACGCATCTTGAGCCACAAAGCCGGAAAAATGCAAGAAGCAGAAAACATTGTAAAACGCGGGACTGCGCAGGGGTCGGCGGCAGGGGCGGGACTCCACTCTCTCCTTCGGAGAGGAGAGATGCCTACGGCGAGGACACGGCCAGGTCGGGGCCCCTTGGTCCCCTGGCCGGATTTATGAGGCTTACGCCTGACAGCCGGGCGCCGGCCTATTTGGGTGTGGGATATGTGCAGGGCCGGTGCCCCGTTTGCAACATGGGGCCAACGTACGCCAACGTACGGCAACATAGGCCCAACTCAGGAGAACATATGCCTAACATAGGTGTAACGTAGTTTCAACATGGGTTTAAGATGTGCTCAACATACACCACATGGGCCCAATTTGGCCCAACCTAGTGCCAAGATGCGCACCTTATGGCCAAACTTTGGTCAGTATAGACCCCACCAAGGCTCAAAAAAAGAGAAAGAGAGAGACAGAGAACCCAACCTTAAGATCCAAAAAAGCCGCATAAAGAGGGTGTGTGTAGGGCACGGCACTTTCTCTTCTCTGTCGCTCTTGCTTTGTCTGTTTCATTCTCTCTTTCCCTTTCCTCTCTTTGTCTGTACCTGTCTCTGTCTTCGTCCTGGTATCTCTCTTTCTCTCTCTCTCTCTTTTTCGTGTCTCTGTCTTTCACTTTCTTGCCGTCTCTCGCTGTTTTTCTCTCTTCCCTCTCCTTGGCCTCTGTCTCCGTCGCGGTATCTGTCGGTAGCTGTCCCTGTCTCTTTCCCTATCCCTGCTATCAGATTGTGGGGGAGCATCGCTCTCCCACCCTCGTTTACGACGGGGGCCGGGACTTCGGGCGTCCCGGCAGCATCCTTCGCAAGAAGGGGGCTGACCGCCCGGGTGTGCATTGCGCACACCGAAGGTCGGGAGAGCCGTCGAGCACGGTGGAGCGCAGGCGGGGACCGAGAGAGTTAGCGAGACAGAGCACAGCGAGCACGGAGTCGCACCAAAGCGGAAACATATGCGGATGATCGAGAACTTTTGGTTCACAGAACACAAGCAGAAGCATGAGCACGATAAGCTGAGGTACAAAACCACCCTTGGTAGGTATATTTCATTCCCTACGAGAGCGTTAGGTTCACGTGCACAAAACCACTCTGGGTAGTTCTATTTCACCCCCTAGAAGAGCTAATGGTTTACAAAAAGAAACAAAAGCGCTGTCAGACAGAGCACAGGCAGAGGCAAGCGCACGAGAGGCTAGTGCGCAAAACAACCCTGAGTAGGTCTATGTCATCTTCTACCAGAGCTTTCGGTTGACAAGAAGACAAACAAGCGTCGTGGGACAGAGCAGAGGCAAAGGCAAGAGCATGAGAAACTGCACCAAACCACCCTGGGCAGCTCCATCTCACCCCCTACCCGAGAGCCAGCGCATCGCGCAGCCGCTGCAGCCAAGTCCGCAA